GGAAGGCCCCAGGGGTGACGGGGCCGCTGCTCCCATATGCGCGAGGCCAGACGAGGTGGGGGCGGGGGTTGGCAGATTGGGGATATCCCACTGCCCTGCTCGCCCCTGCCTGCCCTCCTCTAGAGGAGGGCCGGCGGGGGCGAGTGCGGTTTTGCGGTTTGGGGGCGTGTGTAAGAAGCGCAGTGTGTGGGACGGGATCATTGTATCAAAGATTATTGTATAAGCGCAGATCGTAGGCATGTCGGTGCGACAGGCGCCTACATATGCAGGCGTGCGTGTGGGCTCTCACGCGCACTCATCGACAACCGCATGCGCGCATGCGCACACATGTGAAGCGTCCTGACGAGGCGCGCGCAAACGTACATGAATGCACACACGCACACGCGCACGCACGCACGCAGGCACAAACGCGCGCGCACACACACACACACACTCACACAACACACACACACACACACACGCACACACACGCACACGCACACGCGTGCGCACACACACACACATACACACACACACACACACACACACACACACACACACACACTCCCAGGCCGCGCCCCGCTGTTCAAGCTGATGGCCGACGACTACGAGCGCCGCGTCGCCGAGGAGCAAGCCGCCAAGCAGCAGTTTTACGCGGAAGCCGTCGGGACCTACAAGATGGCGCGCGTCAGCCAGCTCGTCAGCGGCGAGGTGTACGTGCGGCCGCCGCCGGGGGGCGCGGCGTCGCCGCCGCGGGGGCGCTCGCCGACAGGTGGGGTGCCGGGGGCTGCTGGAAGTGAGCTCCGCATGGGAGGGGGTCGAGTTTGGAATGCGGAAGGGCGGAAGGATCTAGATCTAGGGTTTAGGATATAGCAGCTCGTGAGTTTTGTTGGGCCTGGAGGTATGGCGGGGCCTGGAGGAGGATTAGGATTAGGATTAGGATTGTTACAAGATCCTGCGGTCGCCCGCTCCTGGAGCCACCCAGGCTCATGGGATATGACTTGGTAGGTGAGGAGGGCCTGGCTTGTGGTGATGGATTGGATGGGTCCCACGTACGTGCAAACGCCCACGTGCTGTGCACCCGCTGCACCGCGCGCTTGAAACAACAGATCGCCAAGCGGCCTCGCTGTCCGCGGGCGGCGGCTCGGACCAGGGCGGCCGCCGCTCCCCGTCGCCCGCCCGCGGCGCCCGCGGCGGCGGCGCGCCGCACACTACGACCAGCGTCGGGCCCAGGGCGGCCGGCGGCGGCGGCGGCGCTAAGTGGCCAGGCGGCGCCGCGCCCCAGCTTGTGGAGAGAGCGTCGTCGCCGCTAATAATGCCTACTGATGGTTCGACGCCGCCGGGGTTCAGGGTCGTGCCCACGCGGCTGGCTGGGGGGACGGGCGAGGGGCCGGCGGCGCAAGGGGAGGGCGAGGGGCGCGGCGGTGAGCGGCGGCAGCAGGACGGCGCCCACGCATCCGCGTCGGCATCGCATGAGAAGAAGCCGCAGGCTGAGAGGTTTGAGGCGGAAGATCGGGAGGAGGAGGAGGAGAAAGAGGGAGGGCGGGGTGCGCCCAAGCACGCGGGCGACGAGCAGCGGGAGGGGCATGCTCAGGAGGGCAGCGGCAGCGGCGGCGGCGGCGGCGGCAGCGGCGCCGCGAGCAAGGCGGCGCCCGAGGCGCCGTCCGCCGCGGCCTCGCCCAAGGCCAGGGGAGACCCAAGCGCGCATGCGCCCAAGCGCGCCAGCGCCTCCGGCGCTCGCAGCGGCGGCGGCGCGCCCGCCCTGCCCGGCGGTGGCGGCGGCGCGGCGGCGGCAGGCCAGCAGGGGCGGGGGCTCGCCGCGCAGCGCAGCAGCAAGGGCGCGTCCCGGCGTTCGGCTGACGAGCCGTCTCAGCCGGAGGACGAGGTTGAGCGCGAGCAGCAGCGGCAGCACGGCGGGGAAAAGCAGCAGCAGCAGCAGCGACGGCCGCGCAGCGGCGGCAGCGAGGGCGCCGCGGGCGTTGAGGAGGCGATCGCCTCGGATCCCGCGGCCGGCGCCGCCCCGGCGGCAGCCGGACGGACTGACGGCGGGCACGGCGGCAGCGGGGGCGCGGCGCGGGCGGCGGCGGGAAAGCGTGCTGACGAGGCGGCGCCCGCGGAGGTGGTTGGGGAGGAGGCAGAGTACGAGGAGGTGGAAGTTGAGGAGGAGGTCGAAGTGGAGGAGGAGGTGGAAGTGGAAGAGGCAGAGGAGGCCGCGACAGAGGTGAGTCATTGGGGGTGACTCTCGGCACCGCCGCCGAGGGATCGGTGGGGCGGGACAGATGGGCGGGGGCCCGGCAGCGAGGGGTTTGCTTTGGGTGGCACCCGAAGGCAATCAGTGTTTGCGAGGTGCTGGAGTGCGACGCTGCGCGTCTAGTTGATGGGAGAGCTTACTAACTGTTAGTAGGGCTGGCTGTGCGCTTTCTGCTTGGCGGGTCCCCTTGAGGCCACATTACAAAACGTGCTTGGTCAACGCCGCGGCCGCTTCGCCGACTGCTTTCTGCCGTCATCCAGCAGGAGGCAAAACGCTGACGAGGCGCGCGCGTGGGGACAGAGAATCCCCCTGACGAGGGTCGGGCCTGCGAGGGCGGCCACCCAGCGGCGCGGCAGCCGTCGGGGCGAGCAGCAGCGCCGCTTGGCATGCGCACATGGGCGGAGCGGGCTCCTTTTGAGGGCGTGCGTGGCTGCTGGCTTTCCGCTGCCTTAGGAGACGGCCTTCAACACCTTTTGTTTGTAATGCGTGGCAGCAGCAGTACGTACCGTGCAATGTTGCTTGTTGTGCGCATGGACTCGGGTGTGACACATCAGCAGCGCCGCCACTGCGCGCTCCAAGCAAAGATGGAAAACATAACGGAAGCGCTGCGTTTTTGGCGGCATGGGCCTCGCCAGGAATGGCACACACAGGCAGCACACAACATGACACACACTCGGGCCGAATTTTCCAGGTGACAAACCGTGGTGATACAGAAGAAGCGGCGGACCGGCTGATGGCAGTGGTCCCAGAATAAAAGAAGTCCACACTCTTGTCGTCAAACCTGCTGAATGCCAATCAGCGAGCCAGAGGTCTGCAAACGTCTCGCACCACTCACTCCCCGCCCGCCCCATTCACCACAGGCCCTGGTGGCAGCGGCTTTCTTTTCGAGCTGTTGCTGTTGCTGCTGCTGCTGCTGCTACTGCTGCTGCTGCTGCTCCTGCTGTTGCTGCTGCTCCTGCTGCTGGCTGCCACTCCAGTCCCCTGCCTACCGCTCTCCGCCTCCGTCCGCTGCCCCTTCCCCTTCCACAACTGCGGGCAGCAGCCGCCCCTGCAGCCGCCGCAGCGCCTCCACGACCGCGCGCGCCGCCTCCAAGCCGGCCGCGCCCTCCGCCGCCGCCTCGGCCGCTGCCGCCAGCTCAGCGAGCGCGTCGCGCCCGCGCCGCCGCTCGCGCGCGAGGCGCCAGGTGAGGTCCTGGTCAAACTGGGCCGCCAGCTTCTCCCTGGCTTCCTCCACTTCGTTCGAGATCTCGTTCCAGCGGCCGCGGCGCATCTTCTCTTTCAAAGACTCGATTTCGGCTTGAGCTGCCGCGAGCGCTCGGCGCGCCGCGGCATTCTCGGCCTGTGGCATGCCGTCGCCAAAGCGCGGAGGTGGGAAACGGCGCGGTTCGTCAGGGCGGTCGCCGCTTGATGAGCCATGCGTCGCCACCGGCGGTGGTGCAGCATCCTGACGTCACCATCGCTCCCAAGGGATTTTATGCAAGGCGCGTCGGCTCTCCCATGCTGCCCTGCAAGTGCCCAGCTCGTCATCCATCACTCGTCACACCAGCCACGCAGCCTCACCCAATACAGTAATCAACAGCTGCGTGCAGCACAACAGCACCCGGCATCAGCTAATCTCACCACCGACCCCACAGTGGCAAAGCAGCCCCCACCTTCAAATCATCCATCATAGCCATCAACCCAGCCCTCTCGCGCCCCGCCGCCGCCAGCGCCTCCGCCCCCCGCCCCGCCTCGCCCGCCGCAGCCGCCGCGCCCGCCCACAGCCCGCCGCAGCAGGCCAGCGCCAACGACAGCAGCTGCCGCTGCCGCGCGGCGGCGCGCGCCAGCAGGGCGCCGCGGGGGGCGCACTCGACGCTGACCTGGCGACATAGCTCCTCGAGAATGCGATCCCACACCTCGATTTCCGGGCGCAGCTGTGCGGATGCGGCGTGATGCACGTCGTCGCCATGCCGCCAGGCGGCGGGGGCGATTTGCGGCAGGTCAGCGAGAGCGAAGGAGCGGCTGGCGGCGGCGCTGCTAGCCAGGTGCTGTGCAGCAGAGTTCGTGCCTGATTGTGCTCTTGGCACGGATCTTTTTGCTCGGCTGAACATACAGTAAACAAAGTGTCATGCAGCCTCAGAGCCGTATCACAATTGACCCCACCCCGCAGCCGCGTTTGCAAGCGTACCTGTTCTTCGGCGCTCCACCTCTCCTGCTCTGTGCCACTGCCTCGGTCGCCACCACCGCCATCCTGCTGCTGCTGCTGCCAGGAGTCTTCCTGCTTGTTCCACTGCTGCTGCTGCTGCTGCTGCTGCTCTCCTTCCTCCCCCTCCCGCCGCCGCCCGCCCCGCCGCCCCCCAAACGCCTCCGGCAGCCGCGGCGGCGGGAGCGGCGCGCCGGCCTCCTGCAGCGCCGCGTCCAGCGCCGCCGCCATCGCCGCCAGCCCCTCGCGCCCGACCGGCTCCCGCCCCTTCAGCGGCAGCCGCGCCCACAGGCCGAGCGGCGACTCGCGCGGGCCAGGCGGTTCCAAGGGGCTCTCGTCATCCAATGCTTCTCGGCAGGCCAGCCATGCCAGCGCCGCATCGGGGCTGCCGCGGCCCCCGCCGGCGCCCGCGCGCCCGCTCATGCTGCCGCCCGCCGCCGTCGCTGCGCGGGCGGGGAGGCCCGCAGTGGCCCTGGAAAAGCTGTCTCCCCAGGCAAATGCCCCGGCCCCGCTCAGCCGGTGCAGGCTGCTGCACGGCCGGCCCCGGCCGCCGCTCGCCGACCCAGGATCGCTGGGCTGCACCTCCCCTGCCCCTGACCCAGCTCTTGCCATCGATGTAGAGTGGCCAATTTCAGTCCCCTGAGGGGATGAGGGCCGCCCGCCATCGCCGGAGCGCTGCTGCAGCCAGCCGGGCACTGCCAGGGACGCCGGAAGCTGCCGGGCATCCGCCGCCGCGCTGACCGAGCGCCGCACCCCGCGCGGGCGGTCGCTGGGGAGGGTGTCAGCCCAAAGCCCCGCCACCGCCGCCACCGCCACGCGCGACGAGCGCGCCGCGCTTCCGGGCCGGCCCGTCGGCGATGCGGGGCGTGTGCTGGCGGTGGCGCCCTGGTGCACTGCGGACGCCGGCCGCGACCCCAGCGCCGCCGTGTGTGTGGTTGGGCTCCGCGGACGGCTGCCTGGGCTGTTTCTGCCGCGGCCCTGCTGCTGCTGTTGCTCCTCATGATTGCATTGCTGCGAGCCGAGGGGCGGCACCGCCTGCCGCCCCCGGGCAGCCGAGCCGCTGCCTGGCCTGCTGCCGCCACCCGGCTGGGTCAGCGCCGCTGCGGTGCCGCGGCTCTGCATCCATCCGTGGAAGTTGGGGAAGCGCTGCGCCTCGTCCTCTGCGCCGCTGGCGGCCTCCTCTTCGTCGCTGCTTGACCCAGCTGCTGTGTTGCCCACCGCACCGCCCACGACCCCCAGCCCAGGCTCAGCTGGGCCCTTTGAGGCGAGCGGCGCCGGCCGCGCAGCGCGCTGCTTCGGGCGCTGCCGCGGCCGCGTCAGGTGCAGGTGATGGTGGTACTCGCGTGCTGTCGAGGCTGTCGCTAGCTGGCCGGGCGGCAGGCTCGCCAGGCGCGCGCCTCCTACGCGCGCGCTCGCCGGCCGGGGCGCAGGGGTGCCGGCCGCCCCGCCCGCGCCGGTGTCCGGCGCGCTTGCGGCCGCCACCGCTGCGGCGGCGGAGCCTGGTCTGTACGTCAGGCCAATCTGGCGCGCCAGTGCTGCGGCGGCGCGCAGCTCCTGCGGCGTCGCCGCTGAATCCGGCGCGCTCGCTGGTGATTGCATTTCGCACCCCCTGAATTGCAGCTGGGCTCCGGCGTGAGGGGCGGAGGGCAGGGCAGCTGCTGTCTCAGCTCACGGCAACCTCCATGATAACATCTCTCACAGCAAGTCGAGAAAAACGAACCACAGCTTGGGGCCGCTCAAGAGTGCCGTTGACCGATCACTATGCTCCCCAGTTCAGAGCTACGCCATATTGATGGAGTGTGCTGGTATAGCATGTGAAAGAGCAACAGCTTTCGGCCCGCAGAAATGATCTGCCCGACACTGCACATTGCTGAGGAAAATTTTGGTCCACTGCCGTACTATTCTTTGAATTGTAAAAGTTGTATCATCTATACATTCTTGTTTGCCGTGCATCAACTGTTCAACTTGACATCAACAAGAAGGTCACCATCGCCGCAAGAGCCCGTCCTTCGCAAATCGCAGCCGCCAGGCACCGGGATCCGCAATCAATCTCAATAGATCGCCATGATTCCAATGTTGCGGACTGCGACGCAGTCCGTTGTCAATGGAGCGGCGTCGCGCCTGGGCAGCAGCGTGTGCAGCGGGTTTATTGCGCGGGTGCCAATGGTGTGTGCGCCAATGGCTCCGTCGCGGCCGTACCGCTACACACCGCCCGTGCAGGTGCGTAGGCGTGCCGACAGCAGCGGCTGCTCGCTCAACGAGGTGGCCTGCAGCTTGCAGTCTTGTGTGCGGTCGTGAACGCAGCACGCAAGCCGTGTGCATGTGATTCAGGTGGCACATGCGGATAGAACCTAGTCACGTTCATCACCCAAAGAGCTGTTTATTTGCCTGGTGGTCAGGTTGGCAGGAGGGATGCCTAGTGCGTGCCAAGCACCTGACTTCCGGCGCCCACTCCCTTTGACTCGCCCTAATCGCCCGCCAAAATCACATCATCTCCTTGCCAACCCTTCTGCAGATGGGCCGCCGCAGCGCCAAGATCGCCCTGCGCAAGGTAAGATTTGCAATACTGCAGCAGCGCCCCTCGGCCGCACCAGGTGGCGCCGTTGGCCGCGCGTGCGCCCACGTGCCTGCCCCTCCATGCAACTGCTTCACGCTGCTGGTGGTGGGGAGCCATTGCTGTCCCGGCCGCCCAGGCGCAATCGGCGAACTTGGCAACGCACCCCGCAGGGCAAGGCGGATGCCAAGAAGGCCAAGGTCTACGGGAAGATCGGGAAGAAGATCATCCAAATGTGAGCAGAGCGGCGGCGGCGCGGGAGCGCCACTCGCGGCATGCCCGCCGACCGACGTCACGAAAGGCCGCCCGGATGCCGTCGAGTCGCAACTTGTTGTTGGCTACAATCACCTACTGCACGCCCTCTGATGGTGTGTGGGTTCCTCACGCGTGTGACACCCCGCTTCGCCGCCGCCCGTCCCGCACGCGCGCCCCCGCAGCGTCAAGGCCGGCGGCGCCGACCCGGCCACCAACAGCAAGCTGTCTGACCTACTCAAGCAGGCCAGGGTGAGGGTCAGCCAGCAGGCCCATGGATGAGCTCGACTTGGTTCTCTGGACACACACACACACACACAGACACACACACACACACACACACAGACACACACACACACACATACACATGCTTGGTTGATTTGACGGCTCCCACCCAACCCCAAAGTTGGGGCTAGTCGTGTCCAAGGCGGACGCCAGGCGGGTGTTGTGTCGCGTCCAGGCGAAGGCCGGAGTACCCGCTCCCGACAAAACAAACTTGGGTGGCGGCGCATGCTGCTGGTTCTATTTTTCTTCCAAACCATCACGCACACGGCACACCATCCCCAACTGATCCGTGGGCCGTCTCTTCCGCATCGCCTCCATTGGCGAACGCCCTGCCCTGGCGACCCCTACAAATATCTAGCTCCCCAACCCAACTCGCCCTACCCACACAGCACCATCTGACGACCACCACCCAACCCCACCTCTCTATATTTCACCCCGCTGTGTTCCCATGCCCCGGCCTCCCCTTGGTCACTCAAGTGTTACACATCACACTTTGTCCCGCAACGATACTCATCCGCGCCCTGCCACCAACCCCTCGCCGCCTTCTCTCCCAACTCCACCACCCCCACCATCACCGCATGTACACATCACCCTCCACAACCCACCACCTCCATAATCTTCACGTTTCTACGC